TCGGCAGATCTCGCAGACCTGTCCCCGGGGGCGCCACCCGTGCTGCCGCAGCCGGGTGACCTCATCCACGTGTACGAACAGGTCGCGGTCCAACATGCCGTTGGCCAGCGTCAGGAGGGATTTTTCATAGGAATAGGCAGAGAACACCGAGGCGAGAACGGCGCGCAACTCGAGCAGGGACGGGGACCAACTGGCGGCATGAGACAGGAAGGCGCGCAGGATGCGGAGGAAGGAAAAATCGGTGCGTTCGCTGGTTGATGGGCCGCCGCCACCTTTCACAGTACTGGCGAGCAGCGAGGTGAAAACTTGCTGGACGAGTGTGCGGAAGGAGACCGTCAGCCGGCCGGGGTCTTCACTCAAGGAGACGGCGGGCGATGTCGATTCGAGATCCTTGATTTGATGATTCCGCATCAGGGCAAATACATTACTTGCGATGCGAACCACGGCCTCGATAAGATCCAACCAGAGTGTCTCGTCAAAGGCTAGTGGCTGTTCAAGCGGTGGCAATCCCCTCTGACCGTTAGTGGCCGCTCGTGATTGCTTCGCTGTCTTGGTCTGGCCTTGGCAGAGCCAGGTTCCGACTCCAGCGTACTTGTTCAGAGACTCGAGAAGGTCATCGATCGCCTCGGTCGTGCTGGCAGTATCCGGGGCCTCGCCCACACTGTGGAGAATGCCGACTAGACCCGATTCGAGCGTACTCAGGTGTGCTACTAGACGATCCAAGGCAGCCCGTACTTGGCCCTGTCGGGCGAGCAGGATAACGGCGGCATCTATGGCCCCGCTCTCCTCGATAGATGGAAGAAGCTCTTCGAGATGAATGTCTCCTACCCGCAGACCATCCACAAAGTCTGCGACGTGCGACGGATTGTATTTGCACAGAAGCTGTACGTACCGTTCAATCATCCAATTCTCCACCGAAGGAGTAGATCGATTCTCAGTGGTAAGCCCGTGAGGTTCGACCAAAACCTGAAGATACTGGTATTGGTTGAATGGATCATCTTCCAGTACCTGTAGGAATGTGGAGTGAGTTTCGGGCGCCATATCCTGCATTACCTGCGAAGCCTGCTTCACATCGATGGCGGCGATTTCTTTGGCATGCTGCTTGACTACCTCAATTATATCCCGCCTCTGCTTTTTACCAAGCCCCGAGCCGGAGCGGAGGCAATCATGCAGAGCTGTATAGATAGCTGCTTTGTCATGCGGATCATCAAGGTAGGTCATTATCCACTGGGGATACTGTTTCTCTGAGCGATACGTCGACTTCAAGATGCGGAAGAATCGAGCCTCTTTGAAAAGGGGCACCATGCTCTGAATATCCGGTGGGTGATAGATAGACAGCAGGTACTCCGCACTCAGCTCGCAGTCCTCAGCCATATCCTCCTCTGGATACTGACACAGTCGTACAAGAACTTGATGCAAAGTGCTGCCCGAAAGAAGAATATACTGTGGGTATTTGGGAAGATTGCGTGCAACAAACATGTCCAAATAAATGGTATCGGAAGGAGCGAAGACCGATCCATCCATCACTTGAAGCAAGATGCTGATTAAATATTGCCGATTGATCGACACCCCGGACGTGGGAGCCTCTTCAGACTCTGGCTCGTTCAAAAAGCTGTCCTCGAAAGCCTCGTTGAACATACTCATGAAGCTGGATGCATCGAACTTGAGCATAGCCTGCAGCTGGGCAAATGAGCCAGCCTCGTTAGAGGCATTCGTAGAACCTGTGCCAGACAGGTGACCCGAGAAAATGTATTGATATAATGCGGTTTTGGCCCGCAGAGCTTCCGCTTCATCCATGTCATCACCGGTAGGGTAGATGCGGCCGGTTAAGATAAAGGACAGGTAGGGAAACATTTTCATCGCGTTCGCGTGGCGTTTCATTTCAATGGCAAAGTCCCCGTTGACCGAGGGTTCCTCCGTGGGAGCAGGGATCATACGAAGGAGTTCCTCCAAGGGCCCCACGTAGTCCATCAGGCAGCGATTCCAGACGTATATGTATGCATCGTATAGGTTGTGCTGCTTGCATAGGATGGTGATTTGGTCAATGTCCATCGTCGTAGTATCGAGAAGACAAATTATCTCCTCCAATCGACCAGCGGAATGGGTAATGATGAAATGGCTGATGAGAGCTTTGACAGCAGTCGGTGGTAGGGATCGAATGGTCCCGTCGACAATACGCGGTTCCAACACGTCTAAGAAAACCCCCGCAGAATCGTGCTCCTCGTACCAGGTGAACACTTCCTCCCACAAAAACTCCTCGTCCGCCATGTACAGGCAAGCAGCCACGGATACCTCGGCAAGCTCCTCAAGTTGCTGGCTCTCCAGTTGTTCATTACTTGCTTGAGCATTGCGACCGAACGCATACTTCAAAGACGCCGAGATCATCTCAAGGAGCTTTTCTCGAACGATCGGCTGCCTCAAAGCATCCTCGTCAGGAAGCCCCACTGTAAGCCTCTCCGCGCTTCCAGTGTAGTATGAAGTCGCCAAACGTATAGCGCTGATGAAATCACCTGCCTCCATCAGCGCCAAGAGGCGGTCAGCCCAATTTGAAAGGTTGCCAACTTGGGCTTCGTTATATCCAAGTAAGAACAAGCGCCCTTTATAGGCCCGGAAACTCATGTAGAAGGCATCAGCTACTACGCCGTGCATGGATGTGTCTTCTTCGTCGAGTTGTTCAACCAAGTTGTGGAGTTGTGAGGAAAAGAGGTCGGTATGGTAGATATGTCGGTTTGCGAGGTCGATGGAGTCTGTTACGTGCATGGAATAGTCTTCCAGGATGAGGAGACGTTGGGTTATCGTGAGCACAGCTAGCACAGATCGGCTGAGCCATTGAACGGCCACAATGGCCTCATCCGCCTTCCATCTGCTGCGGTCTCGGAAGACGAGGCTTGGAGGTCGGTCCCTATCCAAAGGCTCGTCCGTCTCTGCCTCGGTCACTTCTAGCACAGTCAAGACATTCGACCAGCAATAGACAAGTTTTGTATTGGAGGTTTGGCTGTGTTTGCCCTTCAATCGAATTGCGGGGAACCAAGCCAAAGCACCAGTCATAGCACTATGCGCAGGGACTTCTTTAGGGCGTGGCGATTTGTGTTGAGTTCGGGCAACGGGAGTAGTTGACACGATGACCAAAAGGTACGGAGTCAGCATGGCAACGAGACCTAATGAATCAGACGGCTGCTCCACGTTTCCGAGCGGAAGAGGAGAAAAGGCTAAGACTGAGCTGGGCTTTCGTTTGCGCATCTCCCCCGGCAAAGTTTGAGGATAACGACCCAAGATTCGAGTTGTTTTAACCGTTCGTCCAAGGGAGCCCGTTCCTCGCGTTGCCAAATGCGAAAAGGCCATTCCTCTCGTATCTGCCGACACAATCGCCGTACGTCGCGTTCCTAGGAATCCCACATGGATCACCGTAGAGCCTGCAATGTGTCCATCAGATGTTCGGGTCTCGACTTGATTTGCGGGAATCGGAGGCATGTGAAGGAACGGTCGCGCGGATCGTGAGATTTCCCATGTGAAGATATCGCCGGATTCATGACCACCGGCCACAGTCGAATGGTCAGCCGATATTGCCAGAGAAGTGACAGGACCGCATTCAACGGCTGTTACATGTCAGTATTACATAGCTTGCGATCAAGTGGTGGAGCCCTTAACAAACCCTTTGTGCCTGTTCCAATAATCGTCTTCAAACTCTGTTGGTAATCAAAAACCAGAATGATGCCTTTGGAAGTACCGATCACAATTGACGTTGAAACAGCCAGACAGGTTGGCCTTCCGAAGTTGCGCTTCCCGATCTCCGAGAAGGCCTGCCCAGTGATCTTGCGCAGCTTGGTCCATCGCACGACATCCCACGGACTCGGCGGTACTTCGTTATCTGATTCCGGGGTCGGCGAAACCTGGCTAGTGATTGACGACTGTCGGGAGTGTAGATGCGCTAAAAACGGGGAGCCGGACCGGGGTGCGCTCAGTGGAGACGAAGATAAACGGGACTGGAAACGAAGGTCAAATGGACGGTGGGCTGGGCTAGGGCTAAGTCGTGGTGAGCTTCGGAAAGCCAATGCATTACTGCTCTGGGAAGATAGTATAGAGTCCTAGAGTCGTTGATTAGACACTTTTCCGAGCGCAACCCCCCCCCCCCCCAAATCGCGGCCACTCACATGTAGAGACGGGGTATCGTCGGGGGTCGAAGCCGTCTCATCTACACTGCCAGGCTCCGCATTCACTTGCGCTTTCCTAGGCGGCGGTGTTTGCGGTATCTGAGGGCCGTCTGCATCCAGAGTCTTCTCAGACGCCTGGTCCTGGGCATTGTCTATCGTGTCCAAGTCTTCCACCTCCACTTCGACCGGTTCTAGCTTCTGTGGGGAAGGCCCGGGGGATTCATGGTCGAGAGCGGCATCACGACCAGGGGTTTGGAGGACATGCTCATCCTGGCCCAGATCAAGCTCATCCTCTTGGTCCCAGCCCTCACTGCCCTCAGCCATCGAGCTCATGAGCAAGGTCTCCGAGTGATCATTGCTGAAAGTGGGTCAGGGAGTGAGGCGTGTCCGGACCAGCAGTGTGCTCCGATAAGGCAGGTGATTTGGTCGGAGCGAGAGAGACGAGCAGAGCGCAGGCGATGCAGATAGGTGCGAACGGAGGAGGGGAGTCGAGCTCGGACGTAAACATGTGGAGTCGCGAGAGTCGAAAGAGCTCCGGCTTCCTGGTTCGGCCCGTCGGACAGTCGGACTTGGGGGCGGAGAGCCCAGAGCCTCAGCCACTTGTGGCTTTGGCATCGCTTGGTATTGATCGTGGTCTCCTCTTGTACTTGAAATGTTACACTATTTCAGAGGTACAATTTGTACAGTAATACTGTAGTACATAATCAACCGTAAAAGAAGCTAGAAGTACAGAGAATTGGGCCCTGTCAATTACCAAAGAATAGACTTCTGAGTACTACAAGTGTTCTTCCGTCCCAGCCTAACCGCCGTCGTACGAATCTACATCACATCTCCACATGTTAGGGAAAGGGTTCCTGCAAGCCGAGCTGAACTTGTTGTGATGGAGCACGTCTACCATCCATGTTCTCGGATATCCTTATCTCCTCAGCTACCACCTACAATCGCCTCCGAGCACATTTCCCATTCCAGGATGTGCCCCGACGCATATCACATCTCCAGCGCGTCGGACTCTAGCCTCTGCCATCCTCCTGCACCCATCTCCCAACATCATTGGCCGTCAGTAGCGGGGTATTTCCGCCCGAATGCTACCACAGCAAAGTCCATAGCTTCACTCAAAGATCAACCCCTTCGCTAAGCTTTTCCCGTCGACCCCTGCCGACCTAAATGTTGCCTCGTGTCATCCTGACATTTGGGTACATCGAGTCACAAGGTCGTTCGCCCGTGTCCTATCATCATGGTTGGCACGACCATGAGGCCGTGATTTTGTTCGTCTTGTGTGTTTTCTTTTCTGGCTAGGGATCGTCGGTATGTGGAATGCTGGGGAGTCTTCGGTCATCACTCCCCGTCAGAGGGGGGTTGCATGACCTCTGGCCTTGCCAATATATCAGTCACGATGCCGTATTGGAATTATATCCGTACAAAGGAAGTGCTTAGCACTCTGGAACAACTTGAAAGGATTCCGAAGCGCTCTAGGGGACATCGCTTGCCTTGCTTCACCCCAGACTATCAAAAACTCGTCGCTATCGCCTCTGGCGCACTGCAGAGATCACACACGATGAGCTCTATTACCAGAATTACATGGGCTCTGCTCGGCCTCGTGGTGCTTCTTCAGCCAGTACTTGGAGTCCCTATGGCAGATATTCTCCCCCGAGCCGATGCTACTACCTGCAACGGGCGATCAGAATACTGCTGGCGGTCATATTCAAATGTCACCTTTGTGGGCTCTCACGACTCTCCGTTCGTGGGAGATCTCCCCCAGCAGAATCAAAACATCGACATAACGGCACAGCTAAATATGGGCATTCGATTCTTACAAGCGCAAACACATCATTCGCTGCTGAACGACAAAGTCTTGGAGCTATGCCACACCTCCTGTTTACTAGAAGATGCGGGGACTCTGAAGTCTTTCCTCGGTACTGTGAAGACATTTCTAGATGCCAACGTGAACGAGGTTGTGACACTCCTGCTCACAAACGGCGATTCTGTTGATATTACCAAGTTCGGGAGCACATTCTCGAGCAGCGGAATCGATAGTTATGCGTTTGTTCCATCGTCAAATCCATTGCCAATTGGCGACTGGCCAACCATCGGTGAACTGATCTCGAGTGGGAAAAGACTTGTTGTTTTCCTAGGTTTGTTTACCTCCTGACTTAAAGCACTTGTATCATTTCATCTTCCCTTAAAGTATCATCATCCTAACATCACCCGCGCACTACAGACTACGGTGCCGACACGAGCAAAGTAGACTACATTCTCGACGAATTCGCCTACTATTTCGAAACCGCCTACGATGTCACCGACTCGAGCTTCTCCAGCTGCAGTATCGACAGACCCTCTGGGGCCTCTGCCTCCGGCCGCATGTACATTGTCAATCACTTCCTCGATGTGGATATTTTAGGAGTGAAGGTCCCAGACCGTGGCACGGCAAGTACAACAAATGCGGCGACTGGAAAGGGCAGTATCGGCGCCCAGGCTGCAGAGTGCGATGCCCTCTATAATAGGGCACCGAATGCCGTGTTGTTGGATTTTGTGGATAAAGGAAATGTTATCGAGGCTCAGAATGATTTGAATGGGTTCTAAATGAATGGTCATGAAACAATGTCTATGTCGTATCAAGTTCAAATTTCGTTGGATCTAATGTTCATATTGAGGATGTCTATGCATGCGCCAATGGTCGCTATGCGTTCTGATTCTATGATCAATATTTTTTCGCGTGTCCCAGCCAAATACTAGATTCTTACCAATAAGTATTGTCATTCCTCCAATTCAACCTGCATCTCGCGCTCTATAAGGTATGTCAGTAAACATTCAGCTAAGTCAATTTCTTCAGGCATACCCCAAATCTTATTCGCAGAGGCCACGATAGTCTCCGCCTTCACCAAGAGCTTCGCAGCATAACGCTCTGCTTCGGTAGGATACAGTTGGTTCCTCTGAGTCTTGCGCGGATTGACCTAGCAGTCACACGAGATTAGCAACCTATTTCATTGATAGAATCCAATCAGAACCACATACTATCATCAGTACTGGCACCAAATCCTTAGGATCCGCGTCCGCCAAAGCCCTTAAATTGCGGAACCCATTCTCTCTCAGACACCGCGCCGTCCAGCTCTTGACGAAAGTAACCTGCGCCATCTCTAGCAGATCTGCGCGTGCTCCAGCTTCTAGCCGGTCACGCATATGGTCCAGCACAGCCGCCATCATGCCCCAATTCATGCGCTGACAGAACTTGACGATACCAGCAGCGAAGCCATGGCACTGCAGGGCGAGGGTCTGGACTGTCCCGCGGGGGATAGAGTAGCGGGTAGCGATGGTAGAAATGGGAACTTCGTTAGTCAGGTCACGAAGTTGAAAGGCTGTGTAGGCGCGTCGGTATATGCGGGCTTGATTTTGTTGAGCTGGGGTATTTTCTTTGAGAGAAGCTCCTGATTGGACCCTAGCGTATAGATGAGCCTTGCTCTATCTTGAAGGGTGCACTGTAAGGAAGCTTACATGGTATTGACAAATCCGGGCTGGACGCCGACAAATTGCAGTGCCCGAAGGCCACTCTCATCCAACCGGTCCAGCTGGTCGCGGAATATCGGCCAGTCGATCGGTGTGTTCATGGCAACTTGGAATGGAGTGAACATGTAGAATATGTGCATATCACCATCCATGACAAATGCCTGTAGGGCACGCTTGAGTTCCTCATACACGAAGAGCCCATCTTCAGGGGAGAAAGCCGAGGCGACGACTGCCTGGCCAAGCAATGTTGCTTCGTAAGACTCATCTTCTTTGAAGATAATAAGTGCTTCATTAATCAGCTCTTGCAGAGCGGAATTCATAATCGTATACACGAGTTTTCTGTCCATTGTGCGATAAAGAAGTGTACAGCGCACATAATCTTTGATGGCCTCGCCACCGGATACTAAACCAGTTGCGATAGCTTCAAGGAGGGCCCTGATGTCTGTTAGTGAATTGAAATGGGGCTTTTGAAGAGTGCAATACCTTTTCAACCCTCTTTTCTCCGGTGCCAAGCAGCTCTCAATAGCAGGCATATCAGCATCAAGTAAATCACACACGGCTTCCAAATCCGCCTTGATACAGATTAAATACGTCTCGCCCGCATCGTCCTTGCCTTTACGTCCAGCGCGTCCACACATTTGCCGCCTATCTCTGTCAGCTGAGCCACCCTGGTACCATCACCACAATTAGCACATACAGCATTGCGGGCCCAACCAACTCCCGGCCCATCCGCGCTCCATTGATGATCACACGTCGAGCGGGAAGATTTACACCTGCGGCGAGACTGCACGTAGCAACCAATACTCTCAGTACGCCTTGATCATAGGCTTGTGCAATCAACTCTCGCTCTTCAGTGGTCATGCCAGCATCTACGCGTTTTCAGTCTGATGTCCAATATCGGGGCATGAACAAACTCACGATGAAACCCGCCACCCTTGACGATCGTCCTCTCAAGAACTGGATCCAATCCACACGCAAGACTTCGCAACTCTGCAAGTAGATCCAGGCGTTTGCTCAGCTCCTCCGTCGCATCAGGTGACAGGCTGGGCATTGCCTCGCTAATCGTGGCAGCATGGATTTGACACGCCCCTCGACTACTACAGAATACCAGTGCGCCGTAGCCCGCGGAAGCAGTTTCAACAGCCAATGCAACCATGGAATTGGTCGCGGCGTTACTGAGCTCCTTGTACTCAGAAACATCAATGAGTCTATGTGGAGGAATCGAGTCATGTAGTGAGGCTGAATTTGCGGCTGTCAATTTGGATGCCGTCTGAAACAATTGTCTCGAAGTTGCTGCTGGATAGATAGCGTTCTCATAAACGAGATATTCATCAATAGGGACCGGGCGGTACGTAGAAATGAAGAACTTGGCATTCATCCACCGTGCAAGCATCTCCGTATTCTATTGTCCATTAGTCTCAACCAGTGACTTCATGGTCAGGTGGCATCTTACAGATAGCGTTGCACTCATGCCAACAATCTGGATGTTCTGCTGGAGCAATAGCAATTTTGTAACCATCAGCTCCAACAAATATCCCCGGTGCTCATCGTCCAGCATGTGCAACTCATCGAGCACCACCACACGCAAATCTCCGATACTACACTCCTCAATAGCAGTGTTAATCAAAGAGTTGGCCTAAGACATACATCAGAATACATGTCAGCAGATCCAACCGTTATTCAGCTGCGCACCTTCTCTATGGTACAGATGCCAATGTCGGTATCCGCCCAAGTCGCCGTTGACCGGCTTCCGCCAAAGAACCCGGTGACCCGGATCTGCTTCTGCAGCTTCTGCCACCTCTTCCGCGGGAAGGTCGCATCATAGTCCTCGTCATCAGGGACGTTCCTCTCCACACCTTGAACAATGCGGCGCATCCATTTCAGCTTCTCCTGTACCAGTGCCACATATGGTAGCACCAGAAGCGCCTTGCGAGCAGGATTCTCAATAATTCGTTTGAGGAGTAGTACATCAGCGACTAGGGATTTACCCCCGCCGGTGGGGGCCGTGTAAACCAGGTGCCGCTCACCCGACAATAATCCACGCGCAAGCAGACATGATGCCTGCCATGGATAGATATTCTTGACGCCGAGAGCAGCGAAATTAGCTATCAGCGCTGGTGGCAACCCGTACTTGGGGTTAGCGAGGGACAGTAGCGGATTCTGGCTGGGGCCTGCAGCCGAGGCACCCTTTTGCCCATCTTTGGACTCCTCAGGATCTGGGGCGCCCAGCCCTGGGCCTGGGCGAATCTTGCTGGGATGGAATCGGTTTAGAGGACCGAGCGAGACTCGAGCAGACTCTAAGGTTCTTGATTCCTGGATCTCGTCGACGATGTTCTGTGATTTGTGCTGGAATGCATGATAGACTGAGAATTCTGAGTCTGATTTGAGAGGTTCGGGGGACCTCGTGGTCGACGTTCTTTTGATTCCTGCGACTGGCGCTACTTGGTAGCCCTGGCGGCGGGCGATATCAATCGAAGTCTCGAACCCGCGCGACTGAAACGGCGGCTGGCCCGATGTCGACATACCGGGGACTTGTGGCACTCATGAAGGCTTCGCTGGATGGGTGTGATCTCGCCTTGTATTAATTACAGTCATGGGGTATCATTCATCTTTCTAGTTCATTGTTTTCGTTTGGAGTCTACGCGAGCATCGCAATGGTCGGGCAGGCGCGCCTCAGGCATACAATATGCACGGGAGAGAGGTGGGCCATCTGCTTAGGTAATCAGCTAGGGATGCTGGACCGTGGTGGACCTGGTCAGATCCACTTGAATAAGCACAATGAGCATTGCAGAAAGTGCAATCCATGATTATTCTTAAGTATCTCTCCCCCTAATTACAGACCAACGGTATACATGTGGTACTGAAATTAGGAAAGTAACCGACTGCATGGAGTGGGTCGAAGCTCTGGCAGTCCTTCAGAGTCGCACCTCTGTCAAGTCCAGGAAGATCCACTAAGATAACATGTGGGCTATCCTGAAAGATGACCGAGTACTTATAAGAGACATTACACGAAAGGCCCAGCTAAAGCCACATTATCCGAACGTGATGTATTTCTAGAGTCGGATCCTTGAGTTGTCACTGTATCAGTAGCTTATGTATTGCATCCTTGGGTATTAAATATCCTGCACTGGACCCAAAAGGGCGCGCCCATGATGCACAAAAGCCATCAGGGGCGTGCTTGCAATAGTAGCTGCAATACCCCCCAACGACAAACTACGATCATCGCTCAATATTTATTACTCATGCCAATACACAGTCAGGTAAGGCTCTCGCGGAAGGCTCAATGTGCGATGGGCTATTATCGAAATGGATTCTGGCGACCGTAAATGGTAACCCCTTGCACGACATTAATTGACAGTGTGGTAGTGCATGGTTTTGTCGCAGAGGACACTGATTGATGCTTGGCTTGGCTCGAAACCCATTATCATGTCGCATGTGGATTGTCTGCCGGACCATTCGTCCGAAGATTGCACCCGGGCCCCATGGCCTTGCTCTCTCCGCTGATTCAACGTCAATGATCTTGATTGCGTCTGCAAATATATTGACTAGTATGGCTAACGATTTCTACATGTTTGTGCTAATAGATCGAGGCTGCCATTCAAGTAGTTGGCAGTCCCTTACCCGTTGAGCCTTCTCCTTGCAAACACGAGTCCCCTATCCCTCGAAGCTTAGGTGGTGGTGGGTTCGTACATTCATGCTCGGAAACCCGGTCGGGTCGGGTGGACCGCGGGTCTTTGTAAAAGTTCCCTACTTAAAATGGAGCTTGGTGGCGCGTGTGTGGAAGAAATTTTCTTCCAGACACGGTATATTTTACCAGATTAGGGGAGTAGAGATGATATCCGGATCGGCAGTCTAGAATTCCTGATTGTCGATATACATGGCGGTGGAATGTTGGTGGTGGCCGATGAACCAGTAAGGTAGATCATAGAGTGAGAAATATATCTTACGCTCAGCGGACGGATCTCACGAACTTTCAAAAGATACCTATCTGGAAACACTAGGGCTCGAAAACAGGTAGAATTATTACATATCCTGGCTGGTCCGAGCCTCAGAGAGTATATTATTCTAGAGAAACGTGGTCGAATCACACTATAGTTACGTGAGGACCCTCTCTCCCTTGGTGTCGT